GCTCATTTGTCCATTGGGTTGTCTTTTTGTTGTTAAGTTGTAATAGTTCTTTATATATTCTGCATATCAGACCCTTATCTGATAGATGGTTCCCCAAAATTTTCTACCAGTCTGTATGTTGCCTCTTTATTTTGTTAATAAAGCCCTTCGATGCACCGAAGTTTTAAATTTTGATGAGATCCCATTTATCTATTTTGTCTTCCGTTGCTTGTGATTTCAGTGTCATATTGACTGAAACATCTCAAAGACCCTATTTCCAAACAAGGTCAAGTTCACAAGTACCAGTGGTCAGGACTTCAACATATCTTTTAAGGACACAGTTCAACCCATAACAGAGGAATACAGCTATTTCAAGCCTAAAACAGTGAAAATTTTAAGCAATGGGGGATCTGAACCCACGTAAAAGCATTATGACAGATGGGCCAAGCCGTTGATCAGGAGGGTATGGGCAGTAATTGAAAGATCAGAAAAGGAGGAGGGAGGAGGGGTATCACAGATGCCCAGTGGTGCCAGCAGAGACCTAACTGGGGTGGGTGAGGCAGGTAGGGCGCTGTGCCCTGGGCATGTTACATGCATGCCCTGGGTGCTGCTTGAGGTGAGGCACCAATTAGCAGTTTCTATTGGCCGTCACAGTTTCCATCACTAGCTGTGAGAGATCATTCAGCAATTTAACACTAATTGCCCAAGGCACTATTTCCATTGTTAGGCCCCTGGGTGCCAGCATGGCCCAAGCCAGCAGCCTAGAGTTTGACGGAAGGGGTTCAGTCCATGGAAGAATCACTGGCAGATCGAGGTAGGGCTAGAGCTCAGGGAAGGTACTAGGTAGTGGGGTTCGGAAATAACAAGTCCATCTACCAGACCTGGGACACGGTGTCCAGATTAGATGAGCAGAAAGGATAGCTTAATACTGAGGGAAAGGTGCTAAAGAGCTTTGGCTACCACTTAAGGAGGTTGGACTTCATCCTATACACCTGAGATTCTCACCTGGGGAGCTGTTGTATACAATGTGGAACCACAAGCTGGGGTGACATCATGTCTTCTTTCTAATAATCTCCTAAGAACTGAAGTGTGTAAATGATCTTTTATGCATAAATGTGAGTGGATTCAAGGCTAGCACTTTCACACTCCGAGTTGCTTTCTTGAACAGGAGAGTAAGAGATACTGATGCAGCTGGCATGTTCGCATAACCTCAGGGATGCTGTGTGAATGTGCCGGGCATGCCAATATAAGTTTCTATATCACAAGCGAGGAAGTGCAGAAAATTGCTCTCAGAGGTGATGGAGAGATGGTCTGGGCTGTGCAGGGGTGGGGCAGAGAACAACTGTGTTTTATCGTAAGTCCTTCTGTAATATTTGGGTTTTATTATTTAAAAATACACAAATACACAGATAATTGAAAAGAAAAAAATAAGTGTTAAGCTTGATTATCAGGTTATCTAGTCCCATTCTGGCCCTGGGTGGCACAAATGGTTAAGCTCTGGGCTACTAACCGAAAGGTTGGAGGTTATAACCCATCCAGGGGCTCCTCGGAAGGAAGGCCTGGTGATCTGCGTCTGAAAGGTCACAGCTATGAAAACCCTGTGGAGCACAGTTCTACTCTGAAACACATGGGGTCACTATAAGTTGGAATTGACTCAACAGCAACTGGTTAGTTAGTCTGATACTAAATTAAAAAGGGTGAGGGGACATGAGGGACAATATTGTAACATATTGCCACAGCCAGGAAAAATCAAGGCATCTAACTGGCAGATACAGGGATTGAAAAAAGAAGAAGAAAAAGTAGTCAGGGCCCATTTAATATGGGCATAAACAGGCTCATACACAAGTAGGAAATTATTATAATGCAGTGCGTGTTAGACTTGATGGGGCCAGCGGTGATGCTGAGACCTCAAGTAAGTATTGACCTATTCTCATCACACTGTGCTTAAGGAAGCAGGGAGCCAGGGAATATATTTTAGCAAGATTTTTATCAAAGGAAGTTAAAATCACAGGTGAAGGAAGCCATCGTACTTATGTGCCTTTCCTTGGTAGCACTTCAATTATAATAAAAAAATTATTTTTCTAATTAAACTTCCCAAACTGTACGCCCTGTGAGGGCAGAGACCATGCCTGTTCTGTTCACCCTGGCTTCTCCAGGAGGCAAGTAACTAACAGAAAGTTATCTTTCCACAAGCCACTTGAGATGTTCGTTCTACTCTAGATCCAGAAGAGTTCCTCACCCCAGGAGCAGATCCTGACCTTCTGTGAAATCTGATGAGGGAGAAGGCAGGTGCTTGGAGGCCATGACTCTACCCTTTCACACCACAGAGGCCGTGGCCCCATCCTTTGAGACCCCCGAGGCCATGGCTCCACCCTTTGAAACCAATGCAGCCCTGCTTCCCATGCCCTTTCCAACGGTTCTGTTGATCTACAAGTTGCTCCAGGGATAGTCCTTTGCTTTTCTTGGAGGACAGTAGATGTAGCTCCTTTGGCCTGGTTCCCACCTGTAGAATTCCAAGAGGCAGACAACGTTCTCTCCTTTCATTCTCTCTCCGTCCCTTTCAGTCTAAGCTCATGGATTTTCTACTGTGGTAATTGGTCAGATCCATCAGTCACAGACTTAATCTCTTTAACAAAAGATTCTGTAGCCATGTCTTTGGTGAAAATTCTAGGACACGTGTCCTTAGTTTGTACAACAGTATTTTCCAAATCATTTTGTTTTCATTTTGCACAGTTTATTTTTAAGTCCATCTCTTTCCCCTCACATTTTATTGTAAGTGACAAGAAGAAACCATGCAGCCCCTTTTAGATCTTAGAAATCTCATCAGCCAAATAGCCAAGTTCATCGCCTACAAGTTCTACCTTCTACCAAACATTTGAGCATAATTCAGGCGAGTTCTTTGCCGCTACATAAAAAGTGGCACCGTTCCTCCAATGTCCAATCACATGTTCACCATTTTCCTTTAAAGCTTCACAAGAAGCATATTTAACATCCGCATTTCTAGCAACACTCTGTTGCTGGCACCATATGTATTCTCTGAGATGATAGAGACTTTCTCTATAGCTCTCCTCACTTCCTTCTGAGGCCTCACCAGAATTGTCTTTGACGTCCATAATTCCACCAACAGTCTCTTCAAGGCAATCTAGGCTTTTACTGTTAGGCACCTTAAAGCTCTTCCAGCCTTGGCCCATCA